AAAAAATTGCCAGCCTGCGTTATAAGACACGTGTAATGCAAAGGGTAACATTACACGGTTGTGTAATGATGAAAGTTGGCTGATGAACTCCAAAACACGGGCTGTGTTTTGGAGTTCATCAACCCACTTTCATCAATCTGTTTCTTGTTTTCTTGTTTTTTATTTTTTTTAACCAAGCGAAGTACATATATAGAATTCAACAAAATGTCAACTAATTTAAATAATAGAATAAAAACTTAAACAAACACATATATACAAATGACTAAACAATATAAAGCTAAGAACGAAACTAGGTAAACATACGAACTTCTACGCCACGCTTTGAGAGAGAACGGGATACTTAGCTTAATCGATACACACAATGATGTACTCACGAGTATTTAAAAATGTCCTATATTTTATTATCACCTACTATGAATCGAGTTATTTAAGAGGAGCTGCTTGTCATAAAACACCTCCATGCATCGCCACTAGTTGAATTAACAAATAAGTGGGTTCTCATTAGTTCTAAAGTTTCCAAATATAGTGACACGACATGTAAACGGTGTATAAGAAGAGAAAACTTTGAACTTGACCATGTATTGTGACAGAAAGTTAAATGCATCCTAGACGAGAAGAAAGAGGAGAAAAAAATGCATGAAAATTACCCTAAGAAATTAAATGAAAATATAAAAGTTAAATGAGAAATTCAAAATCTTTTTGTGATTTTATATTTTTAAGTTTTTTTTAATTTAATTTCCTTTTTCATGGAATGCAATGAAATATATATATATATATATATATATATATATATATATATATATATATATATATATATATATATATCAAGATTGCAAAAAACACTCGACGTAGTCTCGGCGGTGGACTGGGGTCAAGGGATTAATCGGTTAGGCGGGGATTAATCGGAGGATTAATCGGGGATAATTAATTATTAAAAAATTAATAATTATAACATTAATCCTAAGAATATAACATTAATAAATATAAAATTATAAACTAAAATAATTATTAAAAATTTAATAAATTTAACATGAAACTATGATCACAGCAAATTGGTTGATTTCTTTATTTCAAGGGATTAATCAGCTTTGACTTTAAACACTCTGATGAACGAGCAACAATAGCAAAGAACTAGAATACAATTCAGATGCTATGCAATTAAGATTTAATAAAAAATCGTCCATCATATTCTCAATTTGGATCTTCCAGTGCTTCCAAATGAACCAAGACATTCCAGAACAGATTTTGCACAGATCCTCCCTGTAAACTGCAATCAAACAAGATCTAAAATTAGATATAACTGGAGTAAATTCTATCTTCTGGCCTTTGGGACTTCGATTACTAGTTTTCCCCAACTGGTTGATTTCTTTATTTAATTCTTAATGTAAATTACATGAAGTCGGATATTTTTGTCAATGACATTAGCAACAGAAGCAAATGATTCAGATACAATGGAGACATCAACTAAAACATCATCCTAATCTATAGATATCATATTCATATTCTAGAAACAATGATAAATTAGTAAAATACTCGAAGAACAATATCAAAATTAGCATTGACTAAGCAACTTGTTTCAATCATCTTCCATCATAAATGATGATTAATAGATTAAATCATAGGTTTCATGAACAATAGTTCGACTCCAGAATACCCAGTTAGTAAATCGATGAGATTAATTTGAAGAAAGAATGAAGAGTAGAAGAATCACTTGTACTGAATGCCAAATTTGATCCCAAGAACAAGCTTTTCAGTGTCTACGTTCATCTTTGCACGCCCAGAACAAGCTTCGAGCTGAAGCTGGTGGTAATGGTGGAGGATTGGCGGATTGAGGTGGAGAGAAAGGAGGCGTTTGTCTTCTTCGAATTCTGAACTATTTTAGCCAAACAAACAGAGCTCGGTTCGAATTCTACATCTTTGACTTCAGTAGGTCTGTTTGTCTTCTCCAAATTGCTCTTCAGAATGCTATAGATTTGCCGATCGAAAAGCCTCTTCAGCCGAGACTTCAACACCGGCTTTGTCGTTACCATCGTCGAAGATTGAAGACTTGAGCAAGCTTGAAAGAAACGTCATTGAAGAACTAATCTATGTTGATTATCATCTTCCAATCGGAGTCGAGATTGAAGAACGCACATGATTGATTTGTATACCGAGAATCCCAAACACCCTCTGAACATATGAAACATAAAATAGAGAAGAAGGAAGAATGAATTTATCTTTGTGTGTTCCTGTGTTTTTTTTCAATTGAGTATCCCACATCGTTGGTGGGATAAACTATCAAGGGAAAACATTTATATAAAAAGGGTTTAAGGCTTCATTGAAATCCAGATGCACTATGCTTTGGGCCAACTGTCTCCTTTGAGCCGGTGGGTCCTTTGAGCCCGGTTTTGGGTCCGATTTTGGATCCGATTTGGGGTTTGATTTAGTCCGATTTGGACCGAATTGGACCGGTTTTGACCGATATTGACCAAGGCCGATTATTTTACCCTCTAACCCTTATTCGTAGGCGGCTGGAGGCCGCCAAGCACCTAGGCGCCGATTAATCGGCCGCCTAGACCAATTTTTATAACCATGATATATATATGAATAATGTTTTCCGTATTTCCTAGAAAAACCATAAGATTACACTGACAAGCCATACTCAAACAAATACATTACAATGTTCTATTGTTATGATTTTTTACGTGGCTAAATACAACAAATAACAATGAACTTTCATTCATAGTTTTTCTATTGTGTATTCCAATAATAACGTAGGAACAATGCTATTATTGGAAGCTCCCTAGATGAAGTATGAAAGGGAGATGTGCTCCTGGATGCCTCATATGTAAGAAAATAATGTTGTGTATAATGGTGGGTAATTTTGTCTCACCTTGTAAATAAGAACATTAGATTTAACTCGGAAATGAATATATTGAATTCAAATTTCTTACATTTTAGGATTCTCGGCACTCCAAATCCATGGTTGGTAACATTTGCTATAATGTTGTTGTATTTCCGGGTTTAACATATATATAATTTATTTTTTATCTGCAAATTGCCTAGTTTCTAATTAGAACAATGTCTTTAACCAATTTAAGCCCACTATTTTTTAATTGTTGTGGTTTATTTGTATTTGTTAAAGTATTTATATATGAAATGACAAGATAAAGTTGATTATAGTTTTTTTATATTTGGGTTATATATATATATATATATATATATATATATATATATATCTATATATATATCTCTATATATATATATATATATATGCAAATTCATGGCTTAATGTGTGTGTTATAGCACACTTATGGTTACTAAAAGAATTATAAACCATTTTACATTTATTAGCGTAATTGTTTGTAATATTATGCACTAATGATTTCACAAGCAACAACAAATAATTAGACTCAAATAATATATATATATAAAAGGGCACAAATAGAATTTAACATTTTTTTAAATAATAATAATTTTTAGCAGAACGATACAATAGAACACCACCCAAGTTACAAGATATCAGATCTTTAAGAACACAATTTTTGCACTCCATGGTTTAAGATCAAATGACAGTAGATCCCCAATAAATGCTATAAGATCAAAGTATAAGTAATATAAGGTAGCTAATGACAGATCCTTTTTGTTCTCTGAAAATTTGTTAACTGTATTTGATTCTGTGTTTTTTCAGTTCAAATGTGTTGTGTGTTTGTTTTCTCCTCAACTACCAGAATTGTTATTTTAACAGACCAGAAGTTATATTTGCTCTAAATCATGCCTGTTTACGATATATTTTTTGGCATGTGTTTTGTTTGCTAATAAATCTTAAAATTAGATTTGAAAATTGAGGTTTTGGTTGTAAAAAATGGTAAAACATTATATGCAATTTGTAATTCTGGTGACCAAAACCTCAATTCAAATCTAATTTTAAGATTTATTAGCAAACAAAACACATGCTAAAAAATATATGGTAAATAGGCATGATGTAGAGCAAATATAACTTCTAGTCTGTTAAAATAACAATTATGGTAGTTGAGGAGAAAGCAAACACACAACACATTTGAACCGAAAAAACACAGAATCAAATACAGTTAACAACTTCTCAGATTAATGGTTAACAAGAAGTTACAAAAAGAACAAAAAGGATTTGTCATTAGCTACCTTATATTGCTTATACTTTGATCTAATAGCATTTATTGGGGAAATACTGTCATTTGATCTTAAACCATGGAGTGCAAAAATTGTGTTCTTCAGATCCGATATCTTGTAACTTGGGTGGTGTTCTATTGTATCATTCTGCCAAAAATTATTATTATTTAAAAAAATGTTAAATTCTATTTATGCCCTTTTATAAAGTTGAAATTAAAGATACATGTTCCTATAGGTCAAACCTAGGGGTATCCGGATGATCTAGCATCCATCTAGAAAGAAATAAAGTGGAAGCAACAACATATGCAGAAACGAATACCAGGCAATTTTTCTAGAGTCATTGTTAGGTTTCCTTTCCCAATTATCACTTTGACTTCGAATCCATCAAAAAAGAAGAACCCAACAACAGATATTCATTCTTTGACCCTAGTTAACACCAAATCTTGTCAAATCCATGTAAGATGTGTTGTAAAAAATTAGGGACACCTCCAATTTTTAATCGCAATCATAAACGGAAAGAAAATGGAAAAAAAATTAGTCTACCTTGATATCTTCCAACTTTAACACAATTTTTATCAGAGAACAAAATAAACAATGATTTTGTAAAAATAGGGAGATACGATAAAACGAAAATGAAATCGATTGATAAGACACAAAGTAATAATTAGCCAATGTGATTTGTGCATTGAGGTTGATGGCCGTTCGAAAGTTACGTTATGTGGCGTCATTGATACTGCTAGGGTTTCAAAAGAATCATAAATGAAAATAAAGAATAAGTAGAGCATTGACCATCGATTCCTTCAGTGATTTCAACAAAAGAAAAAAATCTAACAATTTTTCGGATAAGAGAGAAACCCTTGTGACCAGGTAATCTAAGGAAAATTCATCATCTTCGGCCTTGAACTGTCCCGCTTTGGAGCATCTCCATTTAGACCCTGCAAAACAAAGAAACATTCATTGACAAGGATAATAGACAAAAAAGAGAATGCATGCGGCAAGCTAAAGAGAATTCGAGACAATCTAAATGGAATGGAGATCATATGGTGCATATATATACCCTTTGTCTTCAAAAAGCGTATGAGAGTTTGTGTCGATTAAAGAAGCCCTGGAAAGAAAACTTGTCGGTTCACCCTAATCCGTTTGTCCACCAATTTGATTGGCGTCGTTCCAGTATTGGTTGACGTTTGGCCTTGTCATTTCAAATGAAGAGATTTAAAGCAGATACGACACAGTGATGAATCAAGTTTGATGCCCATGCCATCATTTAGAAGATAGGGTACGTGGCGTGCCGGATATCTTGTGAATTTGATACACATACCTGAGAAACCAGAGCGTCTCCCAAACGGGTGGTGCCGATACGATCCGAATGTTGAGGAACATGGCATCTTGGAAATGTAATAATACGCTATAGACATGCCAGAGGAAAAGGGTTTATATAGAAGGTGAAGCGTTGAAGGAGAAACGACGGTAAGAAGCATTGAATCGCCCTGATGGTAAGTTGGGTCGCGAACAGACTGAATTGGTTGTAGGCGGCATCAGAAAGATTTATTCACATTTGCGCACGTTCATAGTGTGGGGTACGTGGAAGAACTTTAACCCTATGAATTTCATATTGGCGGCACTAGAAGAAAAGGGTTTTCATATATATATATATATAATATATATATATATATATATATATATATATATATATATATATATATATATATATATATATATATATATATATATAATGTTAATGCAATGAATGGAATGCAATGGAATTCATCCTTCCCCAAGCTTAAAATGATGTGTTGTCCTTGATGCTTGGGAAGAGAACGGGACCGACTATTGAGGAGGATTGTGAGTCAGGTGATGGGGCGGATATTTCGGTGGAAATTGTTGATGGTATTTTGGAGGGTATTGTTGTGGAAATAGGTATGGATATTGGGAATAACAGGGTGGTCGTGTGGGTTGACCACCCAAGAAAAGCACTCGATGCATGGTAGTCATAAGGGTGTCCACATGCTGGTTATGAGTTTGTTGGTTGCCTCTAAAAGCATAGAATTATTCTCTCAACTCCACCATCTCAGTATTTATCTCACAAGCACTCTCATAAAGGTCAGAATAGTCACGATGAAAATGCCTATTATCAGCATGGAACCGTTGAAATTCTTGCAATTACATGTCATGGTAGGGATGCATGACAGGTTCTTGTTGTACTAGAGCAACAACGTCGAGAACTGGATCGTCTTTATTAGACTTGGACTCAGGTTCAGGTTGATCTAATTGGACACCTAAGTTTGATCTAGGAGCCCAGTTAGTGTTGTGGACAAGATTGGAGAAATCAAGGAGTTGCTCATTTTGATTATCAATGCGGAGATAATCACTAGTATCAACAGCCCAAAAACGGCTATGAAATGTTAAGCGGAACAGACACATATTTTAGAGAACAACCGTGGTAAAGTGAGTTTCGCCGGGAATGACATCGAGACCCGATGGAAAGCGAATGACTAGAGCTAGTTCCTTGTGGATGATGGTGATTGTACCTCCATAATGTACTTGTCGACTCGTTCTTCATGACAACTTTAACAATTTGAAGATTACCCACAACCCAAAATCTGGAAGGTGTTTCGGATTGTGGATTGTACACCAAAAGTGCTCTAATTCCTTTTGGCCTGCTTTTCTTATCTCATGTTGATGAAGGATAGTAGAAGCAAGGATAAGATGAGCGACCTTAAGGAGAGGATTAATGATGTTCGATGCCTTGGCTGAGCTTGCGAAATATTTTAATCTTAAAATTCATGCCCAAAAATCTTCAATATCTTCAAAGAAAAGAACATCCGTGTATAGGAAGGTCCTGTAAGTATTGGAATTTGGGGCACCAATAAGCTGACAAATTTGATTTTTGTGCAAGTGATGGTTGCGACTGAAAGAAATCATGTTCGATGGTTGCGACTGAATGCATGGAAAGAAAGAAATCATGTTCGATGGTAACGATTACACAGACCGTGTAAAAACCTATCAAATGCTAGACAAAATTTTATTTTCACATACGCACACTTCCGCTCCTCATAAAAATTATTTTTTGAATCCCCTAACTAATCTAAGAACCTTGGAACACAAAAACTGGAAAGAAAATGTGCGTACGGAAATTTTACAAAAATGACTGAAATACCTCCGAGTTGCCTCTCAGGTAGTTGTCCTTGTTTAAAAGTCGTTGGCTCGACATGGACCTTAATGGTTTGTCAAGTTTGGTACTATGGGTCTGCGACTTCCTCCACTTCCTCGTTCTTCACTTCAAATCCTTCATAGTATGGTTTCAAACGGTGTCCGTTTACCTTAAAAATCTTCCTAGTTTTCTCACTTATGATTTCTATTGCACCATGATCAAAAAAATTAGTAACAACAAGTGGTCCCACCCAAAGGGACCTTAATTTACCAGGACTTAATTTTAAATGAGAGTGGTAAAGTAATACATTTCCCCTTTTTCAAATACTTTGTGAGATATTAGCTTGTTGTGGTATGCTTTTGTCTTTTCTTTGTAAAGGACTTTATTCTCATAAGCCTCATTGCGTATCTCTTCAAGCTCTTGTATGCCAATCTTCTTCTTCTTTCGCGACTCATCCAGTTCCATATTGAATTGTTTGATCGCCCAATAAGCTCTATGATCTAATTCCATGGGTAATCGACATGGCTTACCAAAAACAATGCAATATGGAAACATTCCAATTGGAGTTTTGAATGCAGTGCGGTATGCCCACAAAGCATCATCAAGATGATTAATCCAATTTTTCGATTGGTCACTTTGGCTAGTCCATTCGTTTGTGGGTGGTATGCTGTTGAAACTTTATGAGTAACACCGTACTTCTTCAAAATACTCCCCAACATACTATTGCAAAATTGTGAACCACGATTACGGATTAAGGCTTTTTGGAACTCCAAATCTAGAAAAGATATTAGCCTTCACAAAATCTATCACAACTTTTGAATCGTTAGTACGAGTGGCTTTAGCTTCCATCCACTTAGATACATAATCCACAGCCAACAACATGTAAGTAAAACACGGAGAAGATGGGAAAGGAACCATGAAATCAATGCCCCACACACCAAAATTTTCACAAACTAAAATGGGGTTAAAGGGCATTTGATTCTTTGAACTTAAAGAACCCATCTTTTGACACTTATCATAACTGGCACAAAAAACATAAGAGCTTCTCCAACCACATAACACAAAAAAAATTGATTGTTTAACATCAAAATAATGATTCAAATCCATGCAACCTCTAAAATGGTGTTTTTTAGGGGTCTCTATATTTGGCCTTCATATTTGGTGTTAAAAGGAAGCCAACACAAAAAATGTGTTAAATTTAAAGGTTGGTTGGAGGATTCTTGGCCTCCAAAACAAAAAAAAATAATAATGATAAATGGAGGATGATTGGAGTTGCATTAAGAGTCATGGAAGATACTTGGCAAGTAAAATCCACTCTCTAAGACTTTTCTTGCAGTACTTTTGAGGACCAAAATCTCCTCCATAAGCATAAGAGTGACAAAATGCTAAGACAGAAGATACCTCATGTTGTTCAACACATCGTCTGATCATTTGGTCAGCACAATATTTCCACAAGTATGGTTCATCCCATACATACCTCTACGATTCTTTCTTGATTTTGTCTTTTTGCCAATGAGTCAAATTTGGTGGAAATTGATTTGTGAAGATATAGTTCAAAATATCAGCATACCACGGGACAACTTTTGCTGAAAACTGATTTTCATCTTGAGTTAACAGTCTAAGTTTGACCTGACTCGGCGAGTGCGCCCATGTGACTCGTCGAGTCCACTAGTTTTCCTCAGAAGTCTCGTGAAGGTCCAGCTCAGCTCGTCGATTTGACCCCCAACTCGCCGAGTTATCGCATGATCAAGCTTATCGGGACAACCCCTCACCGACTCGTCGAGTCAGCCCATGGACTCGGTGAGTCCCTTCGATTTGATTTCTCATTCAGACGATTTAAGGCAGAGCTATCACTCCCAACACTAGATCTACCATCCTAAGGCTCGATTGACACGTAAAGCTTCAATCTTTACACTCATGCATGGTGGTTTTGCTCCAATCCACCAATACATTCTCTCACAAGGTATTAAACACCATACTCCTCACATAGATTAATAAAGTTGGGACCTTTGGGCTCTAGGGACCTCACAAGGTCCAGATCTGAGGTTCAAACCTCAATATGAACTCAAAACACTCAAGGTCCTCATAAAAGATGGAAAAAGCCCTAGATTCCCAAAATCATGAGATCTACTAAAGAAAATGAGAAAGGTGCAAGCTTTAAACCTTTCTCAGAAGCTCTAAAGTGAAACAATCATGGATCTTGCAGCTCCTTCTCATCCCTTGGCTTAAAATTCTTCCTTCTCTTCATAAGATGCACCAAACACTCAAGATTAGCTTAAAATACTCTTTCTAAGCTCAATGGTCGATTAGGGTTTACTCTCAGTGAAGGTGAGCCGCATTTGAGGCTATAAGTTCCCTTAAATAGGTCCCAAACCCGAGGATTTAGGGTTTCATCGCACAACACCAACTCGGCGAGTCCGCTCTCCGACTCGTCGAGTCCGCTCATTAATCTCACGCGGTCAACTCGACTCTACTCGATGAGTTGGACTCACAACTCATCGAGTCCCTCAATAAATCTCAAAATAAACATATAATTAATATACCTAGGTTTCCGGATGTTACACGGTGATTGAAGTATTGGTGCGGAAATTAGCAACTCCTTCAATTGATCAAAAGCTTCCTTACACTCCTTGGAAAATTTCTTTCTTTCTTCACAACCTCGATCATTGGATGGTTCAAAGGCCTTTGAGCTTCTCAGGAAAGTTTGTAATCTTCTTCCATAAGTATTTTATGCATGCAAAGTGAAGTACTTATGCCTTTGATGTTGGCTATAGTCCACACAATAGCTTCCTTATATTCCTTCAAAGTGCTGGCAAGCTCTTCTTCTTCCTTGGTTTTCAACTTGGTAGAAAAGATCACATGTAAAGTCTATTTCTCTCCAAGATAAGCACATTTGAGATGCTCTAGCAAAGTCTTGAGTTCAAATTCGGGTTCCTGCACAATAGAAGGTACAAGTTTCTCATTAGGCATCGATAATTTCATCCTTGGAACATCAAACCTCATCTTTTTCTTTTGATCCATACATGGTACAGCTTCCATAATCTCTTCATCAATCTTGAACTCTTTGGAAAATTTCTCCACCCTATCATTTTGAAGATTCCTATCTAGAACTAAGGCTAAAACATCGAGGTTCGACAAATTAAAACATTCTTCGGTTAATGGCTCAATGACATCAACAAAGTTCAAAGAAGAAATGTCACTTGGATATCTCATGGCATCATAAATGTTAAAATTAATCATATCTCCGTCACATTTCATGGATAATGTACCATCATAAACATTAATTTTTGTCTGGGATGTTTTCAAAAAAAAAATGTTTCCTAGAAGGATTGAACTCACATTTGGTGCGTCATCATCATCCATGTCAAGATCATTAAAATCCGTTGGAAATACTAGTTCATTCACTTGAAATAACACATCCTATAGCACAACTTTTGGATATATAAAAAAGATCAGTCAATAGATTGTACGATCACCCCGGTCTTCTTCAATGTGCCAATATTTAAAGTTTTAAAAATAGAGTAATGCAAAACATTGATAGAAGCTCCAAGGTGAAGGTTACCTAACTTATAAGGAATTGTGAAAACACCCAGATCCTTACATTTTTGAGGTAATCTTTTATGTAGCACCGAGAAAACTTTCTCACTTACTTTGACAATTTCATTACCTTTTAATTTTTTCTTAGATGTGCATAATTCCTTATGGAATTTAGCATACCTGGGGACTTGTTTGATGGCATCAATGACAGGAATATTTACCTCAACCTTTCTGAACAACTCCATGATTTCATTATCTTCTCTCTCTCTCTCTCTCTCTCTCTCTCTCTCTCTCTCTCTTGCTTTGACTTGTTTAATCTTGTAGGAAAAGGAGGAGGAGTAACTTTCACTTCAATGGGTATTGGCTTTGAGGATGCTTTTGACTTCTCATCTTCTTTCTCTAACTCCATCACTTCTTCTTCCTGAATCATGTTTGGACCTTCATACTCTTTGTCATTCCTTAAAGTGATGGTACATGCATTATGCTTTGGGTTCTTCTCAGTTTGTGTGGGTAGTTTGCCTTGTGACTTTGATTTACTTACAAAAGTGGCAAGTTGAGTCATTTTTTGCTCCAAAGTCTTGATACTTGCCTTGTTTTCATTTTGAAATGATTGAATACTTGTGGCTAAACTCTTGACAATTTCTTCCAAATACATTCATGAACCGCTTGAACTACTTCCTTGTTGTATGTTTTTGAGGTTGGAATTGAGATTGATGGGGTTAGAAGTTTTGTT